AACATACCTCAGCTCAACTTGACTCCTTATCTCAACTTGTCTCCCGCCGAAGGTTGCTCCCTACGAACTTGGCGTTGCAGACCAAAAAAACCCAAGTTCAGCTCAACAATCGAAGTATCAGAACATCTCCTTCAATTGCGTCCACGCTACTAGCAGGGTTGAGTATCGTGACGAGGCATCGGCGTAACTGGTTTCCCCCGCGAGCTTCCCGATACGCGCGTACTTCGGGTGCCAGGCCAGCTGACAAACCAGGTCCGGAGGAATCAGCCAGACTTCGAGTAACTCCTGTACGGGGAACCTCCATTAGGTAATACGTATCAGATCGCCCACGCAGAAATGGTTTGCAGAATATTTCTGGTGGGGCAGTCGACTAAACAATTTTTTCGTTAGTATATACCAAACGTTCTGGACATCACGGAAGGCACATCATCGCGGACGTGTTGGTAACAGGTAAGAGGGGGGTCTCGGGGAAACTTCTCTCTCCGTGGTGATCCCAATCACATTCACCGAGAAGAATGTGCAATGTGTTCCAACAAGGGCCTCCAATTACCCGTTGGCCCTATTCGTACTGGACTACTCCGCTGGAGCCACATAAAAAAAACATGCCCTGCAATAAGCGCCACGATAATCTGTCGCTAACTCCACCGGTGAGAAACAGTTCAGCAGCAGCAACTAAAATACTTCTGTGTTCCGAGCAAATGATATCGAGTTCGAGTGGTGGGTCGGCACGACGAACCAGCGGTAACCGCTAGCAAGCCAACGGCAAACTTCGCCGTTAACTAAAGAAAGTTGACCCCATCCGTACTACCAAATGTGGTGGGCCAGTAAATGAGTTGAAGATGACAAGTTCAAACATAAATGAAACACAGGAAGCTCGGAATTACAGTTGAAGTCCACTTTATTAAATATATATATCAGCCGAAGCTTCAATCGTTGCAAACGACGAGTATTATTATTATTTGAACATGGTAAATAAACTGCTTCTCTCAGAGGCTGGGCGGCCCTATTGATTGAAATTAGCAGCACATCCTACTGAACATGGTAAAGGAATGAAATAAAACTCTCAAATAATATCTACTCTCAAATAATATGAACTAAAAACTCCCTTCAAAATCCCGCACCTCGCATTTAAATACCGCGGCACCCGATGAGGCTTAGATATTACATGATATTGCCAGCCAACCAGGAGGGCTCTTACGAAGCCAACCAATTACAAGACGGGATATATCCAATTACCCTTTAGGTCATCCGACCAATTAAGAGAGGAGTTATACCTTTAATTAATTATAACCAATGACAAAGCATAATAGATGAGTGTTATCTGATCACCGACAAAAATGGGAGGAGTTTATCTCTTCGCGAGAATGTCGCGTCCCCGGCAAAACAGTCTTATTGTCTAATGTGTTGTTGGAAATGAACACCTGTACATGTACATCTTGATGCAGGAATTCATTTCCAACGTGCTTATCGAAATGAACACTTTAATCTAATTCAAGAATTCAAAACCAGGGGTTGTTTACCAGTTCCTGGCATACTATTGGAAACATAATTAATGTTATTTAGCTTTTAGGTGTATACCAAGTCAAACTAATAATCGTACCATTAATCAACCCAACCCGGCTTTTATATGGCTCTAGCGCCCCCTTTAGCCCAAATGAGCGTACTATTACAATACACTTACGTCAGGTAAGGTTTTTTGCTCCCTTTGGGCCTCCCCCTGGCCACACCCACCATTTAGGACATGCCATACGGTCAATTCGTTATGGGGCTATGCGATCTTTACATCCGTGCACATGAAAATTGGTTTCCTTTCCAGCTAGGTTGACCCCCCTGGCTCCCGGACTATGGGGGCGGCATCACCAAAAGTTAAAGATGTGAAAATTATACCAAGATACACCTCCATACAAATTTGAAAGAAATCCGTGAAGGAATGTGGCAGTTAGAGCGCACACAAGAATATGAAGCGGCGGACGCTGCTGAATCCAAAGTACTGCCAGGGGATAAAATTCACTTCACACCCTTACCAAGTTTGTTATTTTTAAAGCGTGTGAAAAATAGAGTTTTCTTGATTTTGTTTCTTGAGAATGTGACATATAAAAGCTTACATTCAAGTATTCAAGAAAAACCCTAATTTAACTAGCCCACCTTTCATTCCTAAGTTACGAAACACACACACACATAAAAAAGAAATGTATAAGAGGTATGAATAATTAAGTTGCTGACTGTAATGCCCATTTGTTAATTTATTGTACATCAATAATTGTTTTACACTGTCGGGGACTAATTGGCCTGTCTTTATCTAAGGCAGCCATGTTGGACAGCAAACGAAGATAAAACTTTAATTTGAATATAGGTTACATGCTTTCAGTTCTAGCTAATGGAAAGTAAAAGTACACAGAAAAACCCAGACTTACTCTTAATTTCCAGCAAAACTAAGTTTTATTTGCCAAACCATCTACTTTGAAAACGAGCACTTTCCTAATGTAGAATAGTGGAAATCCACTCTCTTAGGAGCGGATCCAAATGTTTTGGAGTGGAATTCATTTTAAATTATAGTGAAATCATTCTAAACGAGTTATCTGTATTACTATTTTGAGAGGATATCCTTACGATGTTCATGTTTGAGCGTGGATATCCATTCGACATGGAAAAATGATACGTTATAATTATGAGGAGGGAACACACATATGCGTACCCTAAATAACACTGAGTGGGGGGGGGGGGGGGTATTAATGTAATTAATTTTCTTTTCTTCAACTGATTATCATAATTTCACAGCATGGATCAGGAATAGAATCTATCACTGTTCAGAATAGTCCGTCCTACATCAACATTTCTTGGGCGACAGCAGCAGGGTCATCATGGGACTACTACACCGTGGATGTTATCAAATCATCCCAAAGAAGCGTGGGTGGATATCCAACCAACACCATCGACACGACACATCTGATAACCGGACTCAGACCTGAAGAACAATACACAATAGTTGTCACACCATGGACTACTGAGGGCGCTGGCCGTTCATTGAATAAAACCGTTACTACAGGTAACACAATTGTGCACTTTTGAAGCAAGTAATTTTAATAGATGACATCCGGTCCCCCCGAAGGAAAGTCCCAAACCCCGCACAAAGACCCAAAACCAAACAAAAAAAACACTAAAACTAAAACATTAAAGGTAAAGACCAGTTATGGTCATGCGATTGCATTGTGAAAGAAACGTTGTGGAATCGATCAGAAAAGGTTGATCATCTAGCATCTAGCATCTGCAAGGTTCTGGAATCATCAAAATGATAAGAAATTTGGCCAATTCTTCGTAAAGTTACAAGCACTATACACAGAAAGATGTATATGGGACTACCCTATATCTCTCACAGACCACGAGAGAAATAAATTTACCAAATATATGAATTAGTAGGCGGTTTCCCGGCAAATTTGTTATCATCATGTATTAGTCAAAACATATTCTTTCACATGATTGGTAATGAGAGCTTCCATTTCATTTTTTGAAATTGGGGCGTTTCCAATACTGGTCTTTACCTTTAATAAATATTTATATATATTTACTTCATAATTTGATAAGAATCCTGTTGTTTTTATTTCTTCATGTCAATGTCCTTCGTATTTTTCCCCTTCTGCCATTCATCATGTTCGTAGTGAAATCGTGTTTACAATCTTATTCGAACACACAGTGTGTAGCAGCAAAATGTTAGATATATGTACAGTATGTAAAAAGATAGTCAGTTAGTATACATGCTGTATATTCTTGGTTACTCCCCAGAGGCCATTGCTGAAGGAGACATATTTGTGTCAGATGTTACGTCATCATCGGCTTTTATCCGATGGAAACCTGTCGCTGGAGTCTTCTTCTATGACATCGAGGCTGAACCAAGTGATGCCATTGAGAATACAGGGGGTATCTTTAAAGCTGAGGTCGGACTGACCATTCTACTTCCAGGAACAGTGTTTAATGTGACTATAAGAGGTGGTAGTCCAGTCATGGACGTGGCATCAACGCAAATAAGAAGCGGTAAACGACAATAACTTGACACGTTTTTATCTTAACATTAACATTCAATTATAAAATCAATTTTTAAAAGTGAGTTGAAACATAAACGCCGGGTTAAACTTTTTTTCTCCTAGATATATGAGAATTGCCAACAATTCTTTTTTACATATAGTATTTATCATTTCCTTTCAAAGCATTTATCAATTGTTTAGAATTGTCCATCCTCATTCTCATCCGCAGTTTTGAACAAAACCATTTTATGTCGTATTATAAGTAACATTACTCGTCAAATTGTATGGTTACCCACAGGCCACCACCCGTTATCTCATTACAAAAAAATAATTTTATTTTGGTTCAACACCCGTGAGTCCAGTGAGTATTATGCTTAATGGTCGGGTGAAATCCAAATATAAATTGGTTCCTGTTGATGTGCAGGGCTGCATACAACTCATATTTTGTTATTCAAACATCTAAATATATTTCATAGAAAATAATTTTCTCAGACCTGCTAAGCTCCGTTTTCAAAAGGAGGGACACATGCATTATGCGTACCCTGAATAACACTGAGTGGGGTCGGGGGGGGGGGGGGGGGGCGAAGCTACGTTCCAACGTCTCTATGAAATATATTTAAATGTTTGAATAACAAAATATGAGTTGTAATACAGCCCTGCACATCAACAGAAATCATTTTTCTATTTGGATTTCACCCCAACTTTAAAGTAACGAATACGACCGAAGCAAATCTCACTCTACGATTTTCAAATGAATTTATTTTCGTTTTGTAGCACCCGAGAGTCCAGTTAACGTTTCTCTTAAACAAACTGGTACGACTGAAGCGACCCTCTCCTGGACCCCTCCGACCAGCCCACATGACGCATACGAGTTCTACGTCATTAATAATTCAACCAATGAGAGATTACCCACTACAACTAAACAGCGTGGTGACGTCAGTGATAACGAGGTGACGTTGACTGGTCTCTCTCCTGCTACTAACTATTCATTTGGAGTTGGATCTGTAATGAACGCCATGGATTCCTTCGGATTGCAGAGGAGTGGTCAAGATGATAACCCGACAGTGTACGGTCGAACTGGTAAGCAAATTTGAAAATTGACCTACACGAATTAACGAGGTTTCGAGCGAACCGCACCAGAGATGTATTCTTATTTTAGTGAAAATGCATCCCACCTATATAATTTAAGGAGCTTTTAAAAACGTTGATTCTCCCACTATTCAGAGTGGTGATGTCACTCCCGGCTTGTCAGTTGCATAAGGAACCTCCTCTTAAAATTAGCTTTAAAGGTACTATGTCCTATTTGTAGGCCAACAAAAATGAAAAGGTCAAATTCCAACGGCATTTCAAAGATAATACTAATTTAGAACTTCCCTAAAAAAAGGGCGGCTTGAAAATGTCTTAAAGTGGGAAAATAACGTTTATTAGTTGTCGAATTGACTTAAGAGCTATAGAGCCAGTAAGTACCAATAGACTGATTTTTCCGGGATCGCCGCCCCTGACGATACTTCAGATTTACGTATACTGCCATCTGTTGCTGAAAATGCACCTTGAGCTTCGGGGGCTCCGCCCCCTGTCCCCACTTTGAAAAACGTTCAGCGGGGCCTGCATGTAAGAGTGGTGGATGCAGATTTGCTCATTACGCCACTGACAAGCAGCATAAACAATATATACATTCAAGGATGCAAAGAAAACACAACAATAATAACAAATAATAATAATAACAAAACTGACATGTAAATTTAGGTTCATTTTCCAATACAATGTTTGCATTATAATGTCTTATTATTATCATATCTTTGACTTAAAAAATATGTGTTATTTACCTGAAGTATATAAAAAATACTCACACGAGTTATTATATATTTTTATCTCCGTTTTGTAGGTGACGATACAGGGAATGCCGTCTCATCTACTCTTCATTACACTCTGCTTCTCATCCCTGCACTCCTGGCTGTCTTTCTGGTGTGAAGTCACTGTGACTGTCATCTGTTTACCCCACGTTTTTTCTGCAAATATTAATGGGGACAGTTTAGAAATGATCTTATGTCACATCCGAAATTATCTATTTGTTTGACAATTTCGATGTTTAAGTCCAGACACCTTTCTCACATGAGTACTTGTAGACTGTAATAAGCTACCAGGGGGCATGCATATTATGATAGGCCTACCCATTGGCTATCGCCAAAACGTCATTTTTGGCGATCGAAGAACTGGCTGCAAACTTTAGTCAGCTACACACAACTTTAGACTTAGACAGCGAAACTATCACACAGGTCGATAATTTTGTATGTGCCATAGTACGTTTTTGTTATTCAAAATTAAATCTAATTGTAAGGCTAAACAAACAGCTCGACCAAGATGCCCTGTATCAACATTGATCAACAATCACAGAAAACTAGTTTCAATATAACTTTATTAACAATCACGATTATTAATAAAGGAAATAGGAGTATAGGAAATTGTGTATTAATTACAAATAAGTATATAAAAGTAGATTAGTGGAAATACAAGGTCATGTTTTATTATTAACAATACAGGGCTAATACTTCATATTATTCATGATGGAATACGTGAAAATATATTAACGAACACGTTTAGCATGACGTCTGTTTCGGGTCACAAGGGCATTAGTTCCATGTCGCGCCTTTGCCGCTCCAAATAGAAGATGTATACATACAATTAACGCGAAATTGAAAAAATTATAGTCAAACAAAATGAAAAACAAACACAAATACAAGGTTTGAAAGAAGAAAGGGAGAAAAGGTAAGAAAGGGATACAAAGAAAGAAAAGAAGAATATTAAAGAAGGAAAATAAGGTAAATCAGACAATGAATATTTACCATATTATAACCATGCGAACACTATTATCAAAAGAAATATGTCCGATATGACATGAGCATGTTTTCAATCTATTTCCTCCATGGGAAGAGTCATAATTTTATATATGACCATCGACTAATCCATTTTATCTTTGTATCACTAAACAATTATTTCATGTATACAAGAATCTTAGTAAAACACGATAGCAAAGACTTTCGAGAAAACAAAATTAAGTGATTTCAAAAGCCTTGCCCATCACCTATCACAATGCACAAACATTACAACTACGAATTACATATTCCCACCATGTAATTCATTGGAAAAAAAGAAAACGTATCGAAATTACCTTTGAGATGATTTCTCCAAAGTCTTTGACAACTTGTTTTTTGTCAAAATATTATAGTATTGCGTTTCAAAGGCTATGTGGAATCGCTACTTGCCATTTCCAATTTATTGGGGAATTTAAGCAAACGTTATGTAACATTTTGTGTCCTCTTGAAGTCTAATCATCAGTGATCATGCGACTGTTCTTGTTAGGAAGTATCGTGGTCTTGTGGAAAAGTTACCGGCTAGGATAATTAAGGTCTAAAATCCGAATCCTAGCCACGGCGCTATATTTGCAGACATAAATTATGTAGGTTACTTAAAGGCCTATATGGCCGAATTGCTAATTGGGGAGATTTCAAATATGATTACCCATTTGTACTATTCATTATGTTTTAATTCTTGTAATTTCTCATTCAGTACATATCCTAAAGTTCATGGTTCCACTACATGCAACCATAGTTTTTATTCATATATGTGTAACTGGTCATAAATGTAGCATACCGGAAGTATATTGGTTTGAAAGGTCATATGATGAAAGTTAAGAAGGACGGTGTATAAAGCATTGTATGCTAAAATTTCGTGCATTTCAATTTTATCAATAATATACTTCCATGCAAGGCATGTTGGGCATGCGTGTTTGACTGTTCTATGGCATTAAAATATATATATATGTTATTTGTGGAAGTTTGGAAGTTTTACAACAAGGCAATTGAGGGAAAGGGTTTAGGGTGGCAGGCCAAATCAACTTAATTTCTAGTTTCTCGTCTTCCAGCCTCCCCTCGTTCGGTCCGCATCAATCTATTATGACTATTTTCTTATTATTTGATATGGAATTTGATATGGAATTTGAAATGAAATGATTAAGAATCTGATACCTAGACAATGAGATTCTGAAGAAAAAAAATATTTATAATTGCAATTTTACCTTGTTTTGTTCCTGCGTACATTAGTGCAAAAGAAAATGAGAATGAAGGAACAAAATGTGTCCATCGGCCCACGACATGTGTATGTAAAGGAATAATGAATCCCTCCTCCTTATCAAAACAAACATCGGATTGTCGTGAAAATAAGCTGGGAATATTGGCTTTTCGTTGGCAAAAAATTATGCTTTAAGAATCTCATTCTTAAGGAAATATTCGTTATAATAACTTCTAAGATGTTGGGCGTTTGATATCTTTTTTGTCAACCTTTCAAAATCTTCAACCGTAATCAGAGCTATGGCAAAAGATTCCCTTCATGAGAAACTTGTGGTATGTTCATTCATTCAGCATATACGGCATTCTGACTAATATCAACTGATTTAAGTCAAAATGGTAAAAAATGTAGATCGCAATGGAAAATATAACATATTTCTAAGAGAAAGAAGAAAGGAAACGAATGAAAAGCAGTTTTGGGGCAAAAATCTCGTAAGTTACTTTTTGGATACTACGGAAATCATTTTCGTATTCCTAACGTATGCTTGATCTAGGCAGAAACTATATATATTCCGTAAAAATAATTCTACTTTTTCAGGAAGACAAATGTCATAAAGGGTCATGTGACATAAAATGCCACAAATCATTTTTTGTTAAAAGGGGGTCGCGAAAAAATGACATGCAACCGGGGTAAATATTTTCTTGCGCCCGCGATTATTGTGAGGTTGTTAATAATTTTAAGCGTACATTTTCGATGCTATACATAGAAGAAGATCTTCACTGCACGGGAAGCCTTAAGGTAAACAGAATAATGCATATTACTGCGTGCTACGTGCCCGTGAAATCAGTGGGTATATTGCGGAATTCTTGAAATCTCGATTTTAATGTTATACATGTTTTCATGCGTGATATCTTTTGTATATCATTCATCATAATTCTGAAAAGAGGATAATCCTGCTAGTCACCTATGTTTATTTACTTAAGTCTCCAGATCTTTTGTCATATTTTCTTGCTTTCGTTTGCTCGACTCCTGGCAACTGGCAGACTGGCAACCCCCTAGATGAAACTATGTACACTAAAAGGGACTATGTCATACGTAGCAGTCCACTATGTGACGTGCAAATCTAAAAGTCCCTATTGTGATCCGCTACTGCAAAATCATTGTGCTGTAGGAGTCTCCGAACAGGGATTTTTTTACTTCAGGGACCAACATAAGATTTATTAATGGTCTCATAATTTAAATCTATGAATACACCCCCTCGTTTGACGAAATTAGTTGAAATAATGCGGTCAAAAAGAAATAAAGTTTCCTTTTGTTTTCCCGCTTAATTTTACCAATTATTTGTTGATCCCTGGCATATTTGGTATTGGTACCGAAAAAAAGAGAAAAGCACGAAGATGTCAAATATGGCTATATATGGCGGTCTTAAATAAAAATGTAGTGAACGTGTACATGGGTTTTGGTGTGAAAATGAAACCGAATTCTTAACTTTAAACTTTAATACCTCGTAATTAACTGTCGGTGATTAAAAGCACGAAAAACGCAATAATTGCAATCACTTCCTTCTATAAGGTATCATACTGAAGGTGATTTCTTACTTTATCCAGTGATAATAAAAACTTTGGTTTTCCATTACCCCTTAAAGTGTTAGGTTTGCCATAGCAGGTCCCAAATAGCTCGGGATACGGAATCCGATGCAATGTATCCTGTGAAGAGGGACTCCCAGGTATGAGGAACAGAACATCTAGAGAAATAAAGGGGTGTACTTGAACGAAAACAAGGCATCCATTGGCGATATCCCTCTTTTAAACCACTTAACCGTGAACTGAAAAAATGTCGCGCACTGATAGATTTAAAACCATGAATAAGAAACTCAGTTTATCATTGTCAAATGGTTGGTTGAATGTCTGGCATTTAATTTTCTTTTCATGAAAACGCAGATTTAATAAAATTATAGGATTTCCCGGCCAAATTCGCGAGTTTGACATTCAAATTAATTTGTCTTGCGTTCAAATTCGACGGTTTTAGTGCAGTCAGGTATATCTCTGGTTTATATTCCCTTTTCTAGTTTTCAAATCTATGGAATTTTTGTTAGAATCTACGTATGTTTCATTCAAATTAATGAACACATCTGAGAGAGGTGTCTAGATTTAGACATCGAAACTGTCACATAGGTAAATAATTTTGAAGGTGTCACATAACTCTTTTCCGATAATACGCATCTACATAGGAGTTACTCTTCCTCTTTATTCACGTATATGAACTCAAAGAGCATCGGAAAGCCTTCGAAAAGTGAAACTGGGAAATTCAGGTTGATAAAAATTACTTTATTACCAGCCTATATATACTTGACTGATCTCTGCGAAGTGTCTAACTTTTGTTTTTTTTTTAAGTGGCCCAACTATTGTGGAGCGTGTAAGCAGCGCTTTGTAACTGCAAGGAAAAGGCGCTACATCAAATATCTTTTGGATTGGATTGGATAGAATGCATATAAAAAGTAAGAGCAAGAGCCAAACGCCAAAAATAGTATTGCCATATTTAAATGAACTCGATCTTCAAAGGTGATGGCGGAAGGATTAAATAAACCGTTTCCACCGAACATCGGCGCATCGGTTGCGCAGTCAGTTGATTTTGGCTTGGCAGGTGCTTCATTGGCTGAGAATGCTCACAAGGTGGAATCACCTGAGATCAAGAAGTCCAGATGGTACCTGCTATCTTCATCGTTACATCATGCCATAGGGGTGGCAGGGATCAAGTTTATATTCAATGGCGATAAAATAAAAAATAAGGAGGTAAGTCGCACTAATTTAGACCTTGTAACAATTATTTAACATATAATCCCCCTAAACAGTCCTCAAATAACTAAAGGCATTGTTCTCACATTAAAGTGTGGTGTGATTTACACGGAACTAGGAATGAGGTAGGGGGTACCCCAACATTTTTGAACTAGTACCTAGAAGAATGCAGTATAATGTTGCTATAGTTTAGTCAATAAAGGACACATGTCCAAACTTAGATGCAATGACAAGTCGAAAAAACATGAATTCTAATTTATGCTAAGGGATACTATCCATGATCATTATTAGTTTAGATTTTGAAATGAATACAGAAGTTCGTGTTTGAATTCAGATATATTTTTCATTTATTGTTTTATTTATTATTATCATTATCATTATTATTAATATTATTATTGTTATCATTTTTAATATCATTATTATTATTATTATTAATGTTATTATTATTATCATTATCATTATTACTGTCATAATTATCATCATCTATATCATTATTATTGATTTATATTTTCATTATTATTGTTATTCATGTATGTTCATGGTATCCTGTAATACTGGTAAAGCACGTACCCACTTTATCAAATGGAAAATATCTTTTCCATCAGAAGAATCCTAACTAAAAATATGTCGATGAAACGATTTAAAAATGAAATTGATGATAAACAGATGTTTGATATTTATTACAGTGTTGATTTAAATTATTTACTGTGTATCTTCATACATGCTTTTTACGTGCCATATATTTTTTGTGATGGTATCTCAAATAGGAAACCAATGCGTCAGGTATTCAAAGAAACCTGTTAACACCCTTTTGGATGTGGAATATGTTGATCTGCTAGACTGTCCATCAGTCGTTCTCTGCAACTACAATGCTTACAGGTAGCTTTTCTTTATAAAAGCGGACCAAAATTGATTCGAATTTCATGAAAAGACATGAAAATCATCACCAGAGATGAAGCCTTTAGTTTATTTAAACGTTTTGAGTTTAATAACAAAAACACCAAATGTTATGGTTCTACGTGATACATCGTCATCTTTTACGATATTATTGAACATGTTCAAGAGGGATTGGACAGAGGTATACAAACTGAATGGATAATCATCCGATGCGACGTTTCTATATAAATTATGTACAGAAGAGTGGTATTTAGTCTAGATTCTAATGGATATTGCACAGGACTACTAATCCCCTGGTACGGATTTGTCTGGTACCGATAGTCATCGCACAATCCGATTGTAATTAAACAAAGATGTATAGTACCTTGCTGATGATTCTAGGACACCTAACCCCTGGACGTCCACCCCCGGATAACCACCCCTAGTCAACTACCCCGACGATCCTTTAGGACAAATACACCCGGACAACTATCCTATGGGGTAGTTGTCTGGTGGGTAGTTGTCCGGGGTATAGTTGTCTGGGGGAGAGTTGTCCGGGGGTTGTCCTGGGGGTAGTCGTCTTAGATGGTGGTTGTCCTAGGGGTAGTTGTCCTAGGGATAGTTGACTAGGGTTATCCGGGAGGTTGAATGATCAGGGGTAGGTGTCCGGCTACGCTTGCTTATACAAGTACTGAACAAGTGAGGAACTGAACACATTATGGGATGTATGAAATATTCTGAACCCTATATAACTGATGGTACAACAACAGTGAATACATACTCGTATTATTGTTCAGCTTTGGGGCTTATTACTTGTGTAAAGGCTTAATAAAAAATCATTTGTCCTTCTACTTATGATGCGCTATTGTCAAATAGGGTTAGAACCGTTGTAAAAGAACCCAGTAGCGGGTGTGGTGACTCAGTGGTTAGAGCGCCCGTCTCATGAACGGGAGGTCGTGGGTTCGAACCCCGGCCGAGTCATACCAAATACAAAGATTGGAGGAGGGTAGTAATATTCCCCCTCTTGTCGTCGGCTGAATCCGCCCCTTGGGACACGGTACGAATGTCAAAGGTTATCATAATCATATAACGTATTGACGACGGAATTAAGAATGCTTGATTAAGTTACACAATATATATACAGTTTATAGTATAAAAAGCTTTGTTTATGAAGACAACTTATGGCATTAGCATACATAGAAATAACAGCTGTAATCTATTTGAATATTACCCAGGTCCTGACAGAGAATGCAATCCACTAGATATAGTGTGCATGAATAATGCAATGGGTAAGTACATCCTGGCGTGTTCAACTTCCCTCCTCCCACCGAGCTGTAATGGTGATTTTTTTTAAAGGGTATCATCATATGAACAGGTTGCTCAACATGCTTAATTGCCATGTAATTAATAACGATCTATAAAAAGAGGATCCAGGTATACAAATGCTGAAAATTGCAGAAAATATAGTAACGGATATCTTACAAGTTCCAATAAAAAAAGCAAATGTATTTCCTTAAAGACAGTGGTCTGACCACTAGCTGTGTTTAATGAAATAAATTTGCGATTCAGCCACGAAGCTTTACTTGAATACCCTTATACTATACAAACGTTATTTTGAAATTATAGTAAATGAGCCATTCTTGTATAAACCGAATTCTTCATGCCTATGCTGGGGATGTGATGGCGGCAATTTAAAAAAAAAATAAAACCCCGGATGTATATTCTGTTTATCGAAGATGTAATGCATGACTGTTGCATGATCTCGAAATAGTCCCGGGAAATATTATGATGGGATGAAATGACCACCCCTCACCTATTCAATGGCTCTGAATATCTGAATAGAGCGATCAATCCATGCTATTGTTCAAGTAACTATCATAAGTGTTTATGTTCATACACGTTTTGTATGTAATTATATATTTTTATACGGAAAAAACCCAGACCCAAACCAAGAGGAGATTAAGAAAAAAAAAATATTAAGCATATCCATTTATATAAATACACTTATTTATAATATAATCATTATTTTGTAAAGCCCTTTTACATGTAAGGTCTCACAGTACTTTGAAGTGTTCAAACTAATTAGCATATTATTAGTGTTATTATAGTGTTATTATAGGCATAACAATCAATGATCTAAGAAGAATTTTGAAAGCATTTCAAAGAAGACAAAAACAAAGATTTGTTTAAAGAACACTTTGAGATCAAAGGCACCCAATGAAGAAGAATGACGAAAATGTCGTGACAGGATCATTCCACTGTTGGGGTGCAGAGGACAGAACGAAATATGAAGATCATCTAAATGAGCATTGATGACGTAATGACCTGAAAGAAACCATATTCTATTCACAGCTCATTCTTTCTCCAAAACCTGTCATTTTTGTTTCTGTGCTATAGAGGACTTCAATTCGAAGGCCACTGCTGCTTGCCCATGCCCCCGACCATGTGACGTTGTTACGTATGCTACCACGGTATCACAAGCCAAGTTTCCGTCAGACTTTTACAGTAAATTTCTTGCAGAAACATTGACTGAACGGCGGAATAGATCTCTTAATGCTGCCTATTTCAGGTAAGGATTGCTACTGCTTGTAGTTTGAGACCGGAGTCAGTACTTATAGGACCAATTTTTCGTCTGTGAAACACACAAAATAATGCAACAAACAAAAAAGAAGATCGATATCCAATAGACCGTTTTCGTATTTCAATGCATATGTCTTTGTGAGGTGCCTCCTGGCACCTACCTGGCACCAACTACTAGTAAAGTAAGCAGTTCGCATGTTGACTATTGAAATGCAGTTATTCGTAACAGGTGAATGAAATGATTCCTATCGAGGCGCTTCACACAGACATATGTATTAGGTTACATTACGAAAATGGTCTATTCCAGACGTCCTAGTTGAGGAAATGCCCACTGGACCGAAGTTTTGACATATTTTGAAGATTCAGGAAAATGTGTTTTATCTAATTTGTTCACACTTTTCTTCTCTCGAGAACCTTACGTTAACTGCCATGAAGCCCATAAATTTCGCATTGTTGTTATAAAAACATTCATATATCACTTCTACTGCTACTACTACTACCACTACTGCTACTTTTAGTAGCATTATTATTATTATTATTGTTACTATAACAATAATTTGTTATACTTATTGTAATTATTATTATTATTATAATTATTGGTATTATTATTATTATTATGAATATCTTTATTTCTATCTTTATTCTTAATATTTATCCAAACAATGAAGTCCTATAGGAAGGAGATCCATTAATAGTTTGATAACAAATATATAGGTCTATAATCATGTTTTTAAATGTATTCTTCTATTCTAACGTAACATTTTATCCTCTTACCCCAACCGGCAGACTAATGACTACTAGAAAAAACATTTGTATCTAGCAATTGTTTACGAAACTCGGCCTCTTCCGGAAATCGAGCAATAGAAAGTTTACCCCAACCAGAAATCTACGCTCAGAGTTAAAATTTAAAAAAAAATGTTTAGCGTCCTGCCTTTTTAAAAAATAGGAAGGAGGAGGCCCTTTTTTTTCTCAAAATGGCCGCTCGGTACATTTTCCCTGACAGTTGGCTATTTTTCAAGATGGCCGCCGGCATTTAAAAAAAAAATCAGAAATAGATCATTTTAGCAGGTCATGTTTTTTTTCTTAAAAAAGAAGAAAAAAAAGAAGGCGACCCCCAAAAAAGGAAGCGGGCGGGGACGCCAAACATGAATATTTTTTTACATGGCCTTATATGTTTAAGTAATATGGAGCTCGTTCATTCTAGGTAGCAGCAGCTGAATTATGGAACAGAATACCTGGTATTGTGGTGAGGCAGTCACAGTTGATCAATTCAAATACAGACTGAATAAGACTGATGACTCATCCGTTCACCAGCAGTTTTCCTTAGATCTAAATTTAGTTGGTATCTCATTTGAATGGTATCTTGAAATTATTGCCTAATTCTACCTCTTCCTTATTCTCCATAGTGCATCGCGACTGAAAGGTAATGCACTATACAATAACCGTTTGTTTTTATTATTACGAATTAAAATCTTTCCGTTTTGTATTACCTCTATTCTTTATTACAGCAACAGTATGTGTCTCATCAACATATTCTTTAATGAACTGAGTCGGCAAACAAACACTCAACAAGAAGCTTATGGGTTTTATAGTCTTCTTTGTTAGTCTGTAACACTCAGCTTAAAATAGCTTTTAAAGATATAATCAGGTTGTTTGATTTGTTTATTATTATTTTTATAATAAATTCTGCTATTAAAGGGAACCAAAACCTTCATATTAAGTTACTTTTATTATAAAGTTTAAGATATTTGAATAAAATCATTGAAAATTTGAACAAAATCGGGCAAGGAATAAGGAAGTTAAAGCATTTTGAAATGACTAGTCAGTAGTCACTAGAGGCGATATTCAATTTGATGACATCATTTTGTGGACAACTCTCCATGCCTTTTGTACTTCAAATTTCATGTTTTACTTCTTTCTTGTGATTGAGATAATCTACTCCCCTAAAAGCAAGGTATAGAATGCAAAATGATATTCCACTTCACATGTTATGAAGTCGGATCAAGAACACAAATAAATACGAAGAAAACGAAGGAATTGTGAAATTTGATGTACAAAAGGCATGGAGAGTTGTCCACAAATGATGTCATCAAGTTGAATATCGCCCTCTTAGTGACTAGTCATTTCAAAAAGCTTTAACCTTCCTTATCCCTTGCCCGATTTTGTTCAATAAAAGTAACTGAGTATCAAGGTTTTGGTTCCCTTTAAAGTTGATATAGGTTAAATCAAAACGTATATTTCACAATGAAAATACTGTAATCAATGCATCAATTGCACTATTATATTGAATTTCATTTGATATAATATATTAAGGACATATATTTATTTCACTCAGGACTGCATGAATTATACACAAACTTCTCAAACGTTGCTTCCTGAGTAAGGAGCAAGTACATACATCCATGAAAAATAGTGCTTTACTGTTACTACCTCTGGACCTGCCAATAAGGGTCGCTGTCTCACTTTTTTAAAGCTTTTTAAACCCTCCATCAGATACAAAGCATTTTAGATGTCATTCCTAATCGAGTAAAGCTTTGAGTTAAAAGATTTTCAAGTTACCGTGAACAGCGACTTTCAATCTGAGTTCAGTGGTTGCGTATGCTATCAAATCAGTTATGCCTTCAAACTTTGTTTGAATTGTTTCACTTTTATTTTTGCTTGATTACCAAATCTTTGTTTGCCCCCCTTTCCATCCCTTACCTGACCCTAATTAGGTGACATCGGTGGCTCTCTTGGTATGTGGATAGGAGGGAGTATTCTTACCCTCTGCGAGGTTCTCGACATCATTGGTTATTCTATACACAAGGGAAGATCGTCTTAAAGCGACACTGAACTTGACTGAAGTGATGAACCTTCTGCCCTAGCATACTGTTCACAGCCATCTATACACAGAGTTTGGCCAACCCTGTTCGAGTTGTACACAATATGGTGACTACTGCTTTATTGGGCAAGCACAAAACAAAAGAATATACGCCATGTTGTGACCCAGGGAAACCAAGTTGGCTAAACTTTGTATATAGATGGCTCTGGTACTGTTCATTGCACAGCGTCATCTCATGATCAACTTGCCAACAGTGCGAAACCCAATACCTAATTTCCAATTCGCAGACACATGACTCGACGCGAAAACAGGTATAGCTAGGGAAGCAGCGAATTACGGGCTCATAATACTGCTGCAACTTAACTGAGATGGCGCTATAGGGGATTTTGCAGTAGTACGATTGTTTTCATAACATGTACATGTATAACCAGCAAAACTGTACAGATTTGCGTCGTATGTAGTAAAGGAATACATGACACTTTATAAAGCAATCAATATTGTATTGAGAAAGCCTAGGTATTTCTCCCAGAATCTTTTCATGCGAGTGAATAAAAAGTCAAGGGAAAGTCTTGACTGGAGGAAGCATTACTTTCTCTAATCTTAAAGATAATTTGTCTACAATGTATGAGCAAGAATCAATAATTATAGGCCGTCCGAGAGTCCTGCAAAGGTCACTCCAGTTCACCTCTTAGATTTGACACTTCCTTGGAAACAGACAGACAGACAAACAGACAAACACACACCAAAGCATTTTGCCCAAGCTTTGCTGCCAAAGTTATCGGGATTTAGAAATATAGCATTTTTACATTCAAACATAAATCGCATAACTAAGATTTTTTTTACTTAGTTCAGTTCAATTATCAGTTTAATCAAAGTGTAGCGAAATGTTGTGTCAAACGATCTTTTGGATCATTAGCAATTTTTGAAATGATATTACTTCCTCAAAAGTAGCAAAATGATATTGTAAGGATTATATAAGTACATCATTTTACTTTCTTCACCTGTTTGGCAAGGCATACTAAAGGAGCGGCTTGCTTAGGCATTTTGGCTATTTGACCACCATGCTGAAATTTTACAATTCATGTGTTATAAAGAAGTAGTTGTAATAAATGTAGTAATAGATGTACTAGTAAGTGAGTTGTAATAATAGTGTGGTTGAAAATGCAACTTTGTTTGACCATAACTCCTGTCGATGTCTATGGCGGAACTTATTATTTGTAATAAGCTCTGCATTTATACAATGCAGTATCTATTCTGAGTTGTGATTATGCTCAGTGACTTATCGATTCATATGCAGCCAAGATTACTTAAAAGCCAATGAGTTACCATTTGGTGATTGTAATAAGAGGCGTAAAACAATCAGGCAATTATATAATGCTACTTCTTTCTGCCTATACCTAAGAATTCTATAGTCATAACTAAACATGAGCTGTAATGCACTGGTATAAAAAACTCACCACGACATTTACGTATCTGTGTTTTACCGTGTTAGATGGTGAGATGGTAGTGTACTAAGATTAAACAAGGAGTTATAAGTTAACTCCTTATATAGTTTAATCATGGATCCTACCAGGCAGGCGCGTACGCAAGGGGGGGGGGGGGGGGGGGGAGGTATTGGGGTAGAGCCCCCCTTTGGTATTTGTTATGTGTGTATTTTGGAGGAAATCCCCCCTTTGGGTTTTTTTTTAAAATAAAAAATTATACAAATGGCTGACCTAAAAAAAGTTGACCTTACCCCCCCCCCCAGCGGAGGAAAATGTCAATTTTTCAAATTTCGAGACCCCCCCCCCTAAAAAAAGTGTCCTCTTACCCTCCCCCCCCCCCCCCCGCTTATTCAACGGCTGGCTGAGTCGTTTCGAAAATTTCGGCCCGATTTAAAAATGTTAACCCCCCCCCCCTGAAAAAATCCTGCGTACGCGCCTGCTACCAGGTAAATGGTCAACTTTATATGTTTTGTTCTAGTTTAGCTGAATAAAGAAATGGATCTAATCTGTCAATTTAAGCAACTTTTGTTCGGAATCTATTCTTTAATATCGTACGTAAGCTAAGTACCACTCAACTAATGCAATTCAGCAATCATCATAAAAGTATATGGCGCCAACTAGTGTTATAATTACATAATCATCGTCATCGAGAGAGGGGTCTTTCCATATAATTATGACGGGAACTATTGCAACATTTCACCCAACATGTAAGGGATCATTTGCCCGCAATCGTACTGGCGAGAAAAAAACAACAGCATCTGGATAAGAAAGAAGAGGGAGAGAGAGAGGGAGAGAGGAAGAGAGAGTGGGGGAAAGAGAGTGAGAGAGAGAGAGAGAGAGAGAGAGAGAAAGAGAGAGAGAGAGAGAGAGAGAGCGCGAGAGAGGGGATAGAGAACAAGATAGATTACAGGGATAGTGGACGTTTTCGAAAAAACTATTTTCATCTTTTGGAATGGCAAATTGTTTCTGCTCTGTGGCTGCAATTTAAGATGTATTTTAATCAATAAACCAGTCCTATTGCAATCATTTTTGCATTACCCTTTTAATGTGAGTGTAATTGTCTATATCATATATGTAAAAGTAACAGCTACATTCGTGGGAGCATACAATTCACAGGTCTCTATGAGCTTCGTTGGAACCAGCTAGACTATCAACGTCATAAATTTGGCACTCCATGATACTTTATTAGTTGTTTTCCTTTTTTTTTCTTTGGGATGTTATAGAGACAGATCACCAGCCATATTTGGCAAAAAAACAGAGACATGAACAAATTATTCCAACGTAATGGGCAACAACTGTATCACATCCAGGGACCTATCAATGTGTCAATATTAGCTTAGGTCTTATCCTTGAACCCATGGCCCCTACATTCTGTTATGAGACGATTGTCAATTTTTTTTTGAAAAGAATTGAATAGAAAAGTTTATAAAGCTTAGACTTTTCACATCATTCTGTAAAGGTGAAATGAGGAAGTCTATGCGAACAATTTTGTACCGCCGTTTTATTTATGTATTCCAAATTGTTAACGTCATCAGAACATGTTTAGAAACTAATTTTGAAGGGGAAGCCCACTCTCATATCAAGGCGTTTTCAATAAAAGCAGACAATTTGGGAAAGACGCGTATCGACATAGTTGGGGCGGACTATGGATTGTCATGTGAGGGGGAAGGGCGACCCAACAGTAATTTTATATTAAAGAAAAATGATTTGATAATCGAAGCTGGTCCCCTGAAGTAAGAAAATAAAAGTTTATAATATGAAAACAAGAAAGGGTTTCAGATTCTTTTCTTCATAACTGTTATATCCCTCAAAACCTCTGCGAGCCCTACCTTGCCTTCGCAGTGGCGGTGAGACCATTATCTTTTCCTTTCAGGTTTATTAACTTGTAACCTCCTAATTAGGTGTACGGTATAACTTCTGGTTTCGGTACATCACCTACGAAAACACTTGTACAATATTGTATACTTAAACACAAATTATTATAACTTTAACGCAAATTTATTCTAACAAAATTTTGTGTTATCGAGTTGTTTGTTCAAAGTGACAGAGCTGAACTGAATGGAACTGATGAACTGTGCTGTTTATTTGAGAGAGGAATGGGTCTTATGTGAAAGAGAGAGGGAGATGGATAGAGAGAAAGAGAGAGAGAGAGAGAGAATGAGAGAGAGAGAGAGAGAGGGAGAGAAGGAGAGAGATGGACTGATGGAGAGAGAGAGAGATGGAAAGAGAAGGGCAGAGAGAGAGAGAGAGAGACTGATGGAGAGAGAGAGAGAGAGAGAAGAAGATGCCAAGCTCCAGATATACCAAATGACTCCATTTGAGGATCAGTCTATAACCAACATGATCCCTACGTAAGAAATGGAATAGCCCGGTGGGGTCTGGTGAACAGCTGGAATCTGCGAAAGTTCATGATTCCCCGTGGGGGCTTGGCTGTTGTTATTGTGTTTGTGCTGTGTTTTTGTTTAGGGAGGGGGGGGGGGGGGAGACTACCAACCTTTTTTCTCCACATGTTGGTCAGCCTATGTACCAAAGTTAATATGTATCTTTTTCATCGACCTCCACTGGGTCATGCCATTCCTCCATCTTTCCCTCTTTGAATGAAAATAATATGAACCACCATCCTGTAATGATAGTAATAAAAATAATCATAATAAACAAATAGTAATAATAATAGCGATAGCATTTGCACATTGCCACTCCCGGCGCTCCATTATTATTATCATGGCTTTAGCACGGCTGTCTTTATTAAAAACATTCGAGCATTTAAAGTAATTCATTCCTGGAAGGTACCCGTTTACCACGCCTGAGTGGAGGATGGCAAATGTAGATTAATATCTTGCCAAAGTACTGCGATAGGGATTCGAACCCACCACTTTGTGGTTCAAAGTCCGGATACTTATTTACTGGACCACGATACCTCTTTAAACAAGGGGTCGCTTGAAGGGGGTTGGGGAATGATTGATGTACAACCCCCGTACGAAATTTTATGTCGACAAATTTCTTCATTTTAGAGCTTTAACATACATATTTAATACATGTGTACATATAAATAATATTATATTTCCCCCCTTGTGATTGTCAGCAAATATAACCCGACACCTACAATTTAGAATATTGTATAGGGACGTCAGATAGTATATCGTGCAAACTGCAAAACTCCGTGCGGGTGTTTTTAAAGGGTGATCTTGTTACACTATCAGCAAACAAAAGAAAGAAGGAGGAAAAAGAAAAGACAGAAGGATATTTTAGTGTAGTAGATCGGCGATGTGGTGTGCATTTTCATTTCTACATCCAAGATACTCGTGTATAGTATTTGAGATACAAAATTATCGGTGGGCATTTCGAAACCTCTCATACTTTTTAGAAGAGAGGGTAGGTTTTGAATAAAATGGTAAAAGAGGGGCGTTTCACTCTAAATACATTTTAAATTTTTCGCCCTAGTAAGGGACTTATTTGAACATTTTCTGCTAAATAGATACCTCGTTAAAATCTTGGAACCATTCATAACTTGTCTGAAGACACATTTATTCAAAATTTCTTTTGATGATTAACTCACTCTGTTCACATTGATTTATATTTCATATGTATTGTAATATTTCATATATATTGTAACTTGTTGGTTTATTTGTAATTTTTTGTTTTTTAATTGTTGATCATTGTATTTTCCTTGTTATAGCGCTTAGAGACTACGGTGGTAAGCGCTTTATAAGCACCGTTTTTTATTATTATTATTATTTATTATTATTATTATTATTATTATTATTATTATTATGTGTAACAACCGTGTAATACAGGCAGGGCACCATACAGGCATTCACATGTCGTACATAATGTTGTCTACCTAAACATATCCTCACATAATTATGCATGTCTCAAGTTCACGCTCTGTATGGAATTCAATAGGGGAAGTATGCTAACCGCCCTACCCGGTCTTCATAACGTTCAAGGCCGCACCATACCAATAACATTCATGTTAGATACCGGAAAGGCATTATCACTGCACATCTGCTTTATATAGCGTGTTCTTCATACTCTACTGCAGCCATATTATACAGGAATTTTTTTTCTAGGACATCTTGTTTTGGCAACAGTGTTGATACCAGGCGCGTACGCAGGGTTTTTTCAAGGGGGGGGGGGGGGGGGGGGGGGGGGGGGGGGGGGGGGGGGGGGGGGGGGTTTAACATTTATAAATCGGGCCCAAAAATTTCGCAACGGGGGGGGGGGGGGGGTAAGGTCAGCTTTGTTAGGTCAACCATGGGATTTTTTTTTAAATATAAAAAAAATAAATATCAAAATGGGGGGGGGGGGTTTAGAGAAATTTAGGGGGGGTTTACACACACAAAATTACCAAAGGGGGGGGGGGGGTTTAACCCCCCAAACTCCCCCCCCCC